GTTTTAATTATTATGAAGAATTATTCTCTGAGAAATCGCCTGTTCTTCCAAATTCCGGGATCTGCCCCCGATCAGGACCAAAATTGTATGGATTCTTCTTTGGGTCAAGCCCCACCCCCTCCTCAGGATTTCATGGAAATTGGTCAAGTAGTTTTTTCCTAATCCAGCAAATAAACTAACAAACACACACAAAGATATAATCTACTTGGTAGAGGTACTAAATATATTCTCACTAAACTGTGAGCTATTTCCTCTTTTAAGGGTACTTTTCCTTTATGATGCATTCATGAACTTTTCTGTGTTGGCCAAAAAGAAAGAAAACACTCTTTTTTTGCATGTCCTAATGAAAGGCTTTAGATCTTGGCAGAGCAACAGCGTCGTTGTCTTTACTGTCATCTGGTTCTTTTAACAGAAAACATTGGGGATCAAAATGTAAACCTTCAAATGTAAAGATGAGCGTTTGATTTCAATGAGACCTGTTCTGACTGTGCTCTCTGTCCAGGATGCTTTTGATGCAGTGGGCTATTTCCATTTGGCTCTGGCAGCAGCCCTGGAGGATGGCACTCACCCAGAGGCCCTGTATGTGGTGTACATGAAGCTTGCAGAGATCCACGGCAACCACATGCCCGACGCTCAGCTGTGCCAAGTGTACAGAGACAGAGCCCAGAGTCTGAAGAGAGTGCTGGTGGGAGAGGAGGGAGGGGACCATGCAGGCACCGAGGCCGGTCAACAGAGAGAGCAGGACTTGGAACGTACAGACAGTTTGAATAAGAGAAACTACATCTTCGATTCTATACCTGAAGAAGAAATGTATGAACTAAACTCGGCCCCGAGAACTTGCACGAGGCATGTGGACAAAAATATCAGTTGTATAGACATTAATATTGGAGATGCTCATGGGAAAGACGATCACAATCACCATCTCCCTGACACATACCCTAATGTGGACAAGTGTGAGACAGACACCATTGCCAGTCAGTCGTACAGCGACAGTACCTTTACTGAATCTTTTGATACAGCGAAGGAGCAGATCTCTGACTCCAGCAGCTCCACCGACACTTTACAAACTCCGAACTTTGATACTGACCACAGCACACCCAGTCAAATACCTGCTCATCCCACCAGTGACATCACAGGACACATGGATGCTAGAGACACTGATCCTGATATTCAGGGTGAACAAAACACACATGCTTGTGCAGATCCTGTTCAAAATGTCAGCGCTACAGACATGCAGCCTGATGCTGACCACATGGAGTCTGTCAGCAGGAATCCAGATCAGACTGTGAGTGTGGAGGACTCCACAGAGAAAGATCATTCTGAGTCTGGAGACACAAACACGTGGACTTAGGTGTCGTCTACATATAACTGCACTTTCTCTTCTTCGCTGACATTTCCTTCGTTTGGTCACACGTCTCCTGACCATCGACCTGACTACAACGTTCCAGCCACATGGCACTTATTAAAGATGATGTCAATACTGTAAAACTGTCAGAGATTTAGTTGATTCAAAGCATGTGCCTTTTTGTATGAGATATGCTGTGGTTATCACAGTGCACTGTGCTCCTAATATATGATTTCTCTATTTTATTTGTATCTCTGGAAGATATGACTCAAACATAAAGAATGTTATTTTGAGTGCTTTTTGTTCATTTGAATGTGAGACAAATAGTGGCCCTCACGAAAACACATTGACCAAACAGTCAAAACAATCTTACTGGCAGCTAATATAATTAATAGTGTATAAACTTTGATATGTGTAGTTTTAAATCCATATTACTAAAACTGGTTTATTTGTCGGGGACTGTATTCTTCTAAATCTACACATTCGCTGTGTGAGCTAGTTTTAAAGACAGCAGGAAGGTGTATGTGGACTCGACTTAAAAAAAGAAAGTCACTTCCCACATTCAGAGTAATAAAGGAAGATGTCACCTGTTCGCTGCTGTGTTTTTAATCACTTTGGACAACAGTGGCGCTCTAGGACACAGAGCCATGAGTTATCCCAGACTCTGACTGCAGGAAATATTGAGATCAATTCATTGTTAAATTTAAATTATTTATAATAATGAAATATAATATATATTAAATAATTTGTTTATATTAAATAATGTATATACAGTGTACAATAACATTTTGATATATAATTAATAGCTTTATACGTTGCAATTGCAAGATGTGTTGAGCAAATTGTTTTATGTGAAGTTTGCATCATTTCCCAGTAGTATTTTAAAAGTCTTTTTATACTTAATACACACATTTAACAGGTGATTTGCAAAAAGTGTTTCCTTGGTGACCAACCAGAACATGACATGAGTACCTTTACTTAGAGTCACACAATCAACATTTGTGCCAGGGAGGATTAACTGTTTGAGTTCTCTCAGCTGGTCAAACATTCACCAGTGAAGTTTTGGTTGTAGCTTTGACAGATTTTTGTATCTGTGTTGTGATACACAGTAAATAACAGAGTTTCTTGAAGGAAGGCGATAAACTTCAGCAGAACAAACTGCCATGGGGCGACCGAAGAAGACATGATCAACCTCATTTTGGAGAAGAGCACAAGTAAGCTGAGAGAACGTTTGGTTCTGTTTGTACTGCGGGACTTAGACTTAGAAATCTGATCTCCCAGAGTATGAAGCAGAGATATTAAGGAGTCATGAGTTTAGTTTGGTCATGTCTTCAAAGTACCACATGAGAGAGCCATTACATTGATTTTGTGCTTTGCTGTGAAAGCCGTCATGTGGTGTTGTTCCTCATTTGAGCCAGAGGTGGGCAGTGAAAGACAACATCTGGCTGCAGCCTGCATTGCACAAGCTGCAGCAGCCTCTTAAAACAGGTGAGAGAGAGAGAGGAGCAAAGAGGAAAAGATGAGGACAGTCACATTTTGTTCCTGGGTTCAAATCAACATCAACAATGACACAGAGCTTCCCATTGTTCAGAAAGCTCATGCATGAACCTGTAAGACAAAGTTTTATATTAATATTTCACTTATTTCCTGATATGGGGGATTTTTGTATATACACAGTACGCAGCAGACAATGGTCAAAACTGTTTTCATGTCCAATAGTGATCCAATCAGACCCTCTCTTTCAAACATATATCATTTAAAAAGAAAGAAAGACAGAAAAAACTGTGTGACTTTTTTTTTTGCAAAAGAACATTTGATTTATTTTGGTTGTAAAATGGTTGTGACCTTTTAACATGATTATCTTGAAAACTACATGTTAGCAGAAACGTCCAGGTCAAACATGACATGTGTTACACCATTCCAGAACATTTAAATATTAAATCATTAATCTGAAAATAAAAATGTTTTAATCTGCGGAAAGCAGACGTGTGTACGTAGACTAGCAGAATAGATCACTCACAGTAATGTCATATTTTGACCTCGCCAGAACATCCAGGAAGGAAACATTCACATTGGAACTCTTTTTGAAACATAGGTCTATGTGACGTCGTGATAGGAAGTTCAAACAACAGTCCCTCAACTTCAAAATGTTTGCTGGGATGTCACAAATTGAAATGGCAGAGAAAAGCAAGGAAGTAAAAGTGAGAGTTCAGGCGAGGGCGAAAAAAGAGAGACTGCTGTGGATTAGATTGTTGTAACCCAATGTGCCAAAGGAAGGAATGCTTGCATGCATGATCTGCATGTTAATGTTGAAGGGCTCCTGCCTTCAGCCCACAGGCGTTAGTTTAACACAGGCTGAAAAGTCCAGTTGTGCCAAAACAAGCACTGAATTATTCCTCCTGTGTAAGCCTTCACATGGTTACTGTTAAACCATGTGGAGACAAGTTTATGCTCTGCTCTCTGTTGAATAATTGAATGGAGCCACAGAAGCTCCTTCACATCAGCAGCAAAAAAGCTGAAATTCTCTCTCGTGATCCCAAAAAACAATTCCCATAAACACTATGTGTGAAACCCTGAGAGCATACAGCTCCATTTTAACTCTCATTTGTTTGCAAGAGAGCAAATGTAAAAAAAAACTGCCAGGAAACCCAACAGTAATGTGACTTCATGAATAGTCTGTTTCATGAGAGAGTTTTTCCTATGACTTCCTCCTAAAACAAAGGGAATGTTTGTTCCTTTTCTCTGAGATAACATTGTCAGATAAAAAAATGTAAAAAAACAGCACGTATGCGAGAGAGCTACAAGCAAGAAGGCAGCATGTCAGGTTTAGAATACGTTTTGTATTTGAGAAACTTGCTTTCTCTTCATTCTTCTTTAGTGCAAAAACACATAGGAGCTCTCGTTACATAAAGTTTCCATTTTGGCTGTGTAAAACTGCTAATCCTACAAAAATGGTAGAGAGAGACCTTTTTCTTTCTTGACCAGGAACAGGTCAGAGCCCAAATGCTGATAACTCACAAGGACAGGAGACAAAGTTTATTAATTTTGACTTAGCAAGTCAGCCTAAGAGTAAGGCAGTCAAAAAAGGCAAAGGTTCCAAAACATAAAAAGCAAGGTCAAAGACACAAAACAAATGAGAGGGAAAAAACACACTGGAACACTCACAGAAAAACTGATGAGGCCAACTGGCGATCAGTAAGAGGGAACACAGAGATTAAATACACATGTTGCTATGACTCAGGTGAATCTAATAAGATTGCGAAAGGTGAACAAAAAAAGGAGGGAAACCAGACAAGAACAGCTAGTTTAGTGAGAAAGACACACAGGGAAATAAAGCTTCAAAGTAAACAGGTACTCAGGTAAATAACTCAGCGTGCCGACAAAGATATAAATGCAAATACAAGGAAAACAAGGAAAAAGACACAAAATAAAAAGCCCATTCAACAGAAAGTCTTTCAAAACGTTCCAGAACAGAAACAGTTTCAAACAAAGTTCACAAAAAAGGTGCAAGAAGTCTCCAAACTGGGACAGAATCGTGTCAATTTTCCAGAACTATGTCCCAATTCAGTGTCTGCTTCATTAAGGGGACGCACAGGCAGAGCTGAAATGAGACATTCTCGTCTACAGAGGTTTTCTGCCATCACGTCATCAGCTTGTTGCTGTTGCCTGGCAACAGAGCTGCAGTTGCAGTAGAAAGTTTAAATGCCCCTGGGTTTTTTTTGTCTCGTTTTTACATGTGTTCTACAAGCTGGTTAAGTAGAAGTGTCGCTTGTCGGCACCATTGGCCTTCTGAAAAACAGTTCTGAAGCACAATGAATCCTGGGATCGGTTGGGCCAGGAAGGATATCCTGATGCAGCCTTAGTTTCTCAGAAACAAAAGATCGCATTTCTCGGCTGCATTAGATGGAGACTACAAAATGGGAAAGTCTAATAGCACTGCTGTGATGCAATCGGATTTCAAATGCCTCTGAAAGATGCATCCCCTGAATTATTACACACACCAGATGTGCTGGCGGAGAGTTGTGTGTGTGTCCTACAAGCAACAAGGTGTGAACAAAGGGTCCAACACAAAAGCAAAGACCTGGTGACATCAGTGAGTTACAACAGTGCTTCACTTCATAGTTTAGCCAGATAAGTAATGACAAAAAAAGACCACACCACATTGTTTTTAGGTTAAATGGAAAAGCCACTACTGTCTTCAGTATGACAGAAGAAGGAGTAATATCAGCAGGTGAAGAGGGTCAAAAAGGAAAGTGACAAATGACAGAGGATCCAACAACATGATGGAAAGAATCAAAGCCACAGCTGTGTCTGGATGGACTCGAAAATGGAATGTGCTGTACTCAACAGGCAAGATACTAACACTGACTTACGATGCTTTGGTTACTGTGTTGAAGTGTCCTGTGACAAATGCTCTGCTGCATAGTTTAGGACCATAGAGGGTATTTAAATATGGACAAAAGAGATTTCACGGATACGTGTGCTGCCATCTTGCAAGTCAGTCTCATCTCTCAACCCTGATGTTTCATTTTCATAGCATCAAATAACTGAATAATACATTTGGAAAGACAATAAGAACAATAAGAGAGACCTGAGAAGACATAATCCATCTTTGAAAAAACTTTAATAAATGTGTACTTTGACTTTTTAGTTTGGTCCATGTCCCATCCCCTAACATGACGGAGGCTGGGTTTATAAATACTGATGATTTGGCTTCACTGTCTTGGAGCCGTCATGTTGTCCATCTTTATATCCCATATGTTTAGGAGACATGCTCTGCCACGCTCTGCCCCTCTCCATCACTCCTCTCATTCCCTGAAGATAATAACTGACTCCTTCACTGTGTTAATACATAAATGATTTATAACATCAACACACTGCTTAGTTTCTGGTTCATCCTGTCATAGGAGATTGGAGAGTGTGTGAGTGCTCTGTAATATTAAGGAAAGGTTACTGTCCAAACAGTATATCTATGCTGGCCAAGCCCTTGTATAACCTCCTGGAGATGGAGGTGAAAAACTACAGGGGCTTGTGATTAATGTTTGTATCACAGTATTAACTACAGATTTTCAAGTTGATAGCATCTGTCTCTCCTCAACAGCCCTAACCTCAATATGAAGCTGTAAATATCTGCACTGTTACATGGGTTTGATAACGGATAATCTTTTAAGTATTCAACCTTTTTATTTTATCTACAATGTGGTTAATGCTTATTAAATTGAATCAGATTTTCTTTGCTCAAATTTTATCTAATTCAAAACACAGGCATTGCAAAAATACTGCAGTCTGGCTTTCTACTGGAAAAATAATGGCGCCATGACAAGTATGAGCAAACACCTCATCGTAAATCGAGAAATTTGTGTCCATTTGTCTGATACGGTGTCAGCTGCTGACACGAGTCTGATGGAATGCACTGGCCACGCTGGAGTAAGATGTGTTTTAAACACAACTCAAAGCTTCCATTTCACATGCTGTGCTCCTCTGTTGAGTCAGGACTTCACTGCTGTATACTTCTTTTCTCACTGGACAATAACCATAAGCCCACGGTGAGACCACACACACTTAGACACATTTGTTGTTGTTTCCTCTGCCCTCAAGCCTGACACTACATCCATATCCAAGGCACCATATTAGGTTACTCAACTGACAAGCATCTATGTCTCTTATCTAACAGTGGGA